CACGAAAAACGAACGGAACCAGATATACACGGTTCAATTGTTTCCAAGGAACAACATTGTTTGCTTGTTTAGATCGCGCCTGGATCCTGTTCATATCGTAACACGCCTGCAAACGTAAACACTCGATCATGCTCTATTCCCCAAATATCCAAAGAGGCGAAAACATCATGCCTCGACAGTTTCACCAAATCCTCGATACGATATTTGCACGTGTAAAAAAGATCTATCTTCGTGCTCTTATAACCTGCAATATACCACAAAAACGACGCGGTAAACAACGAATGCACTAAATGACAGAAGTCAAAAAATTAAAAGAAAAGAATCATCATAATTCACTCTTCCACTCGTTCAAATTCGAATCATCAACACCAACATATCGTTATATCATTCTTTAACATTGATACAAATCAATCGATAAAAACGAATCGATCAAAAAATTCACAGACACAATTTTTATTTCCAATCGAAACTCCCGTGGGATTTCCTCGTTCGAATCGAATCAAATTCTCTCCACGCGAGGGAAACGGATCAATCGATCTCTTCATCTTACCTGCACCATCAACGAGATCGCCACCAGCCCCTGACTCTTGTGCTGCGCCTCGCTCATATTGTGATACAATTCCGCGTTGTACCCGTACACTTGTATCTGGAACAGAGAGAGAGAGAGAGACATGTGAGCAAATAGAATTTATTTGGCCGCGCAATAATCTTCCCTCCCGCAATTACGGCCGACAAATTTCGGCGGGGAGGAAGGGAAAGGCCCGCTTTGCGGATACGCGTGCACAGAACGCTCGCCAACGATCGTCTTGCCCGAAATTGCAACGCCTCCTTCCTCCCGTTCCTTTCCAACGATCTCGACCAACGGATTAATCGTCGAAAGATTTCAAAGGGGTCTTTGCCTTTCTCCTTGCCTCCCCCATAAATAAAATCGCGAGGATTAACGCATCCTTCGAGCACGATTCGCGCCTTTGTGTCGTGTACGCATTGTTTCGCCGGTGATGATTCTTTCGAAATATCGAGTCGAGTCGAGTTTGGTAGATAAATTGTCAAGGATATTTTGTGGATGTTTCGGGTGTTTTGAGTTTTGAATTTTGACGCGTAAATATAAAGAGGGTTCTCTAAAATTCTCAATCATTTCGTAGGACGAAGAGTATTAATGAAATAAATGAAAAATTCGACAAACGAGATCAATTCTCTTTTAACAATTCGATCGAACTGAATTAAGTTCGGATGTTAAACCGCAGATATTGCTTAAGCTGTTTCATCATTGTCGCGGCGATTTATGTTTCATTCCGCTCAAAACGGGGGAGGGCTCATGAATAATTTCATCACCGATGAAAATTCATTCTCATCTTGAAACTGTACCCTGAATATTTCCACCGATATTATTCCACGTACGATCATTCGCCGTGCACGTATCCTATATCTCCGTTTATTTTATACAGCATTCGAGAGAAAAAAAGAATCGATATTTCGGTGGAATATTATTTCGATGGAAACGACGACCTTCGATGCATTATGATAAAAATTCTTGAGGCTCAGATAAACTTTATTAAAGCGTTATTTATTTATTCTTTCATTCCGACGAAACCCTCCTTTCTAACGTTGTAATTTTTCTTTAATAAATAATCGATCGATGAAAAAGATTCCTTCGTGCAATCTTGATATTAACTATTTTCTTTCTTCCTTCCTTTCTTTCTTTCTTTCTTTCTTTTTTTTTTTTCATCACTCGCGAAACGAAAGAAAGTTCGAGTTACTGCTTCTTTTAGTCGAGGGAAATTCACGAGATTAAGAAATCTATCGATAATAAGGATAAAAAGAAATATCGCGAAGCAATTTCGAATAATTAACGAGACACTCTTCGAGAAGAGAAGAGAGGTTATTAGTTTCTCGGGATCTTTCTTGTTTTTTTTTTTTTTCTCCTTTCTTTCCTTTTCGCGAAATTATTCTCTCGCCAAGTTTGGTATTAATTTAGCCATAAAGACGATTTTATAACTAGTTATAACTGTGAAATTATAATTGCTTTTACAAGTATCGTGTCGATTTCGTATCGGCGAGTTTTTCAAATAAATTTCCCGCAACATTTTCTATTTTTCTATTGAGAAGAAGAGTGGAGCAACAAATATGTGCAAGGACAAGAACAAGATAGGAAGAAAATTTTTGCGAAAAGAATAGATTTCGAGCGAGATTTAAAGAAAAATTCGGGAAACGCGTTGAGAGGAGAACGGACAGCCGTCACTCTGTCTCCTCAAGCAATTCCTTTCCTTGTTTTTTCCCTAAATCGCATCTCAAAGGTGTTCTCAATCACCCCCTCCGGCTGTTTCGTTCCTTCCTTCCACGTCGATGGATATTCGACGATCGTGTAAATTACAGCTGTAAATTCACCAGTCGCGGCCAACAACTGCCGCGTCTCCCCAAATCCCATCCCATCCCCTTCCTTTTCTCGAGAAAGGCGGACAATCGCGTTCGTCGTCATAAATTTCCAGGGGGGCGCGCTCCAAGTGGACCGATTCGTCTTTCCGCGTGTATCGATTCCTTTTGGATGGTGTCTCGTGAATAACGTTGAATCGTTGATTAAAATTTAAAACCTGGTTGGACGTAATGGCTGTTCGGCTATCCTTTCGGTCTCCTTCGAATAAAATTCTTTGACAATTTTTTAATCATCGTGGAAAAAAGAATTATTTACCAATCGATTTGGACAATACTCTTCTCTATTCTCTACTAGTTTAAAAATGAAAATCATTCGTTTCTCTTTTCCAATATATAATAACATCTTCCACAACTTAATTCGAGCCTGTAACCAAAAAGATCATTTAAAAATATTTACAAATAAGATATAAAGCAAAAGTTTTACAAAATCTACACCCATATAACGAGAGCTTTAAACGTTTCTTAACCAATCCATTACTAGCGCGAACGTAATTATTACGTATTCTCCTCGCAAATATAGGTTAGAAAGGATAGATGGAAAAATCAAAGGCCGAGTTTCTCCTTTCTCCCGACAATGGCGCGTTGCAGAGCACCACTTCCGTCGGTTGCTTCAACCTCGTTGAAATGCCTCGACAATGCGACATAGTCGTGCGCCTTCAAGACGTCGCTAACTCCGTTACAACACGGCGAACTCTGTTGCAACAAGGATCGACGAATGGGGGGGGGGGGAGGAAAGGGGTGGCAGATTGCCGAGGATGAGCGTAAATCCAGCGCGTCTGATCAAAGCACGACTCGCTGCTACTTGGAAAAGAGAGAACGCTCTCTTCACGGATTCTTTTCTCTCTCTCTCTTTTTCTCTCTTGAAATTATCCTTCTGTTTTCCCGCGTGGAAGAAAATTCAGAGAGAGAGAGAGAGAGACTCTCGTTGCCGCGAGATGGATGGAAAATTAAGTGTACGGCTCTGCTTCGAGAGAGTGGTGCGCGACTGTAAACAGGATCTTTCCTTCTGTTTCTCGTTAGTTTGGAAGAGTAAGTTCGTTTGGGAGGCGAGAGGGGGGGAAGTCATCTCGAGAGAGCGAAAGTAGGAATAGGTTCGTTTGCTCTTTTTTCTGGATGGAAAATTCGTTTTAACAGACAGAATGCTTGATCGATAAATGAAAATAATATATATATATATATATAAAACATATCAAGTTCTTTCGAACATTGAATGAAAACGACAGCGAATCAAAATTTAAACGGATAGAATGTCTCTTACAATTCATTTTAATCCGTATTCACTCCCAATGTTTTTTTCATAAAACGAAACAACAAAATCATTGACGATTCGTTTCTAATCTCGCTCGTTCATTGAACCACATCGTGCAAATTTTCTCGCTTCCCATGTTTTATTGCAATCCACTCAAACGAAAGTACAAGTTATCTCGAAAAAGAAAAGATCGAAGGAAACAACGAAACATGTTTACCACCGACAATATCGACAATTGTTCCACCCCGATTAAATTACGTTTCGTCCTTCAGCCACGCGTAAAAAATTATATCGGCCAATGATCGAGACAAATTGAATCGGGATGTAAATGAAATTTCACAATTTTCGCCCTCCCCCCCCTCCCCCCCCCCTCCGCGAAAACGTCCAGAAATTGGAGCACTGCGCGAAAAGTGTTACCTGCAGCACCCTACCCTACCCGTGTACGTGTGTCCACACACGTGTGTGTGTGTGTGTGTGTGTGTGTGTCGATTTAATTAAATTTTAGGCAGCCGGTGTAATCGAATCCTAGTACAACTGCGATTACGAAAGTCGTTCTATGTTTAATGCCCTGCAGGGAAATAGTAAATGCAATTTAGAACGTCCTGCGGCGCGGCTAATTTATTGATATCGAGGGCGCCACCGTAATTTTGCGCCGGTGCTAATAATGTACGATCAAATTTTAACGAAAACCTGCCCCTTCCCCTCCCTCTATGGGAACAAGAGTAGCCAGAGGGGGGTTGAAAAAGGAAGAAACAGGGAATTACGCGTTTTTTAACAACTTTGGGGAAGAGGCGAAACATTGCCGATACGTTGGAACAATTGGTACCGGCCGATGCTCGAGGAATTGGATCAGCTTTAAAGCCGAGGGGATGGAAAAATCATTTCGTACGTTTGGCGTGAAATTTAGTGGAAGTTGGATTAAAAAAGAAAAAAAAAAAAGAAAATTGGGGATTCGTTCGGATGGAAAAATTTGTCGAACTTGTCGACTGGAAATTTTAATATAAACGGTGATAAACTCGAGGATTATGTGGAATATCGTAAAATGAGAGTTTTCTTTTTTTTTTTCTTTAGATTGAAAGTCTTTTGGAAATTTGGAAAAGAAGGGATAACTTTAACGAGAAATCTTTTACAAGTATTCTTCCATATCGCAAAATTTCTACCATTCACTGGAACAAACTCTTCCCCCCATTCTAACAAAAAAAAAGGAAAATCAAAAAGTTACCCGAGTCGAGAAAACAACCAAGATTCGACCTCTTGGCTCTCTTAGTTTAAAGATCGAAAAGGGAAGATACACCGTTTACGCTCTTTCTGAAGAAGCATCGACGAGAGCAAGTGTTTTTCCGGCGGCTCGTTAGATCGATCGAGTTCGCCACGGTCCACCGGCTGATATCGAGATTCGTTATCGTGTTGAAAAGGGCGTTGTGGTCGGCGAAAAATCAGGATTCAACTACCGTATCAAACACAGGCATACTTCAACTACCATCTTCCCCGACCGTCCAACCTTTTGCACCGATCTTCTTCTCCTGGCAACCAACCGGCCTGTTCGAAGAAGGGCTCTTGCGTTATTTTGGTGCATAATCAATGGGTGGAAACACGGTTGGAGAGAAGCCTCGCGTCGCATTTATTAGCTTTAAACATTCGAAGGGTGGAGGAAGATAAGGGCGTCGCTCATTCCTTTCCTCGATTGATCTTCCAGAGCCTTTTTTGGGAAAGGCTGGCTCAGCGATTTTCTTCCTGACGACACGACGTCCGTGGAATGATGGGACAGATTGAACTTTTGTGCGGTATCTGATTTGTTCGATTCTGGTTTTGGCCAGATATTCTATTCAGGCTTGGATGGGAATATAAGTAAGATGATCTTGTTATTGGAGGGATGGTTGAGGATGCGTGAGGATGATGAAGTCTTTAGCAATAATCTATCTTACGTAAATTAGTAAAGTGCAATTAATTGATCTGATTGAATCGGA